TTCATCTTGATATCGGCAGCGATCTTAAAATGAAGACGTCGAGCGCAAGAGTACGAAAAAATGAAGCAGCTGGACTTTCTTTGAAGACAACCAGCAGTGGCGGCATAAATAGAAAGCAATCTATTCAGCTTCAGAAGTTAGGTTTTGCGCCGCTATAGACTGCAGACGTCGTCGAACCATGTGTGCTATTCAATTGACCCATCATGCTTTTATATCTGCTGCTTCCGTTCGATCTGTTCGGTTTTTGTCTGATTTTCCATAAAGTTTTTTAAGCTATAGTCGTAGTACACAGTGTATAAAAGCTCGCCAAAAAATAATATACGGTTTGAACTCGGAAGGCACTCGGGCTTCAGAATCAAGCCCTCTTCCGCTTCTCCTGTGTCGGTCCATTTTAAATGTTTGCACAGCAGACGTTTTAGAAAAATATGACAATGGAAAATGTGCCTCTCGCAATTTCGTTTAAAGAATTAATTATGCACTAGCCAGAGCCTCAATAGCGCAGAACAGAGCATGCTTAATGTCACAACAATAGCAATCACAAAAGGAAATTGATGGATAACATTGTTCCTTGCCAAGTTAGCTCGGTAGCTAAAGTTCGAATGGGCAAGTCGTGTTTTTTCATCGTTGTTAAATGAATGCGGTATTTGAAACGAAAGCAGAAGTAAATAATGCACGGCGATAATGGTGTTATTACTACAAACCTATGTGAACCATTTTAAAAAAAAAACGTATGTAACTGACCACTGCACGGTAACCGGTACGCGATACAACTTTAAGGATGGACAGTACTGTTGGTATTTACATGATTTTTTTAATTAAAACGTCGACTCTTGGGAGGCGTTTACTTAGGTTCTTTAGAAAATTCCCGGTCTAGAACTAACCAATCGCTTAGAGTTTGCTACACATAGTAAATCCGAATTGTGTATGTACCCTCGAAATATTGCCCCTGTGTCAGGCAAAAATACCTCTATATGTTTCGAGTTTCACACGTCCGGTATCGCCGTCAGACGTCCCCCATCAGGCGGTTAGTTCCCAGAAGGAGACGAAGCGTGTCTATGCCAGGGTTCGAACCTAGACCACAACGTGTCCCAAAGCTTAACAGACACATACGTTACCCACTATGCAAACGCATGGACATGCGACAATATCGCTGGCTTTCTAGATGTTGTACTCAAGAAAACGACCCCGAGTAAATATCTAGAGAGAAGCAGATTTCAGACAGTCTACCAAGACCAATACCGAATAATATAGACATTCGTGATAACTTCGAGAGGCCCGACTAGCATATGTGAATGGAAAGCGGAAAAATTCTAGGCGAACCCTAGAAAATAAAATCCGCGTTCCTACTGTCATCAGCGTCTGTACGTCTGCAAGAATTGCCAAGTAAATAAACTACACACAAATGCACTAGTGGGATCAGGCTCAGACGGTAATCTAGAAACATCATTTGAAAATGTAGATTCCAACTCTTTTGTACTAAAGGTCCATACATGACTCTATACGGAAGGCAAACCAGCATCTGCTATATCGCATACCCGATTCACAAAACCTTGTTTCACGTGAGCACTTTTCATGAAACAAACACTACGTGGATAAATGCAATATTGTTCCATGTGTATCTGAACCAATCTGAACGCCCCATATTTGAGAGTATCGAGTAGCTGAGCGGAAAAACTGAATAGAGATATTCTGAGAGAATAAAAGCTAGTGTAAAATTTACTTTAGCTAGTGTAGAATTTTACTTTTACGGTAATTGTTTCCATGATAATAGACGACAATCAATTAGTGCTTTTGTCACCCAACACGTCTTCAGCTGCAACGGTCCCGCATGTTTCGATCCCAATTTAGCTTTGATATTAAGTATCGAAGATGCCAGTGCGATACTATAGTTAGATTGAATAGTGAAAAACGAAACGTATTATGCCAGGATTCGAACCTGGATCACAATGATTTAAGATTGACTAGCTATTTTTTTGAGTGGAACAAGTTAAAGCACTATCGGCTGTCTTTCGACAAATCTCGATTGAGAGATCTCAACAAGCACACGGAAGACACGACTTCCGAACGTTATAATCGATAGTAGCTCTAATTGAATATAGATACCCAAAACACTCCGGCCGAATGTGAGCAGTCGTGAAGGGCACTGAACGAACGACAGCACTGGCACGCAAATACGTTTCGTGTCAAATAATCGACACTGATCTTGAAAAAAAAAACTGAAATTATGCAAGCTATGTTACGAGCATGTCGGATCCGCCGGCCTGAAGCTGAAGGCGAATGTCGGACAAAATTGAATACTGACTATGCTGGTTCAGTTAACGACCATTACGCACTAGTAGCGATTGACAATACTACTAAATAGAGCGAAATGTCTTCAATTATCTAAATGGCAACGGACGCGATCTTCTGGAAATATTTGGTTCTAGCCTTGCAAGCTAATCCTGTTTAATAATCAGACTAATTTCTATCGAAAATCTGCACACCAGCACCCGGCAGAATCCAATATTTCAGCTAAGCAAAACCGTAGGGCGCACCGTTGAAGAGCGGTAATTTGAAAAAGATTATATTCTAACAAATCCAAAGTCTGGCTGTTGATCGATTCTATCAATTCCCAGTAGAAACGTTGCTAGGAAAAATGCTCGTTCACGAGAACGACCTAATACATAAAAGGGATAAACCAGAACCTGGCATAGGCCAAAAATAGCAGTTCGCATTTAAAACGCCCCAATTGCAAAATATCATATTGGAATTACCTTAAAGATGTAAGATGGAAACACGGAATGTCTTGACTAGTTATGAAGATACTGTCATGAAGCTTCACATAAAACACACAAGACAAATACGCACGGATTTACAGTTAAAAAATGTTCGATTAATGGACACAGTTGGTTGACGAGGATCAAATCAATGTCTAAAATTCTTAGGATACCAAAAACTTCTACTCGTTCGATAGCGGCTGATGATGGATCATTCTACGATCTACGCAAAAAAGAAATAAAGAAGTGTTTCCGATCACATATCTGGAAGTAAAGCGCTCAACATAAATGCCGAAGGACATAGTGTATACTACACGAAGATATATAAATAAAATAGTCATAGAATAGAGTGAATGAAAATAAAGTTTTTTGATTCACTCATGAAATACTTAGTGAAGTTGTTTAGTACGTCGTTAGCAGGTGTTTTAGCTTCAATCGGATTCGAAACTAACTAATCTCCCGTATCCGTCTTCCAAACTTCACTGAATCGATAGCTTAACACAGTGGCCCGTCACGGGTCATTATCGGTTTTTCTCAAAATCGTCAGACAAATAAATCAATACTATTTTATGTTATATTCAAAACAGTTTCCGTTGACAAATGAGAGCCAGCCCAAATTCGGCCCTTATCTCCCATATATAGCATAAGTTTAGCTTCTGCCTCCTATATTTTCTTCGCAAGTATTCTCTACGATATAGAGAAAAATTGTTTCCATAGAATTTTTCATTTCCTCGACAGGGATTGTCACCTTCCGATTTCGATTTTTCCACCAGTATCGGCGAATCACAATGCTAATGAGAGCGCTCTGCCGTTTTCAGCCGCAGTAAAATGGCAGCCACAAACTATGCGCCGCCAACTTCCCGGCCATGTGTGTTCGATTATAATTTTTTGAAATAATATAATTGGAAAAAATAACAATTTTTTTTTCTTGTTTCTGCATAATCTTTAGCGGTGCCACACCACAGCAATAATTCGCTGTGAGCCGCTTTCCGCTAACTTTAGCAGCGCTAGAGTCATCTCCGGCGCCGGCCAGTGTTTAATCGCTGTCAGCTGCCCGAACCCCCAATGTTAGCAACGAAACGCTGCGGACTACACAGTACCAATGCAAACAACAACAACAACAACAGCAACAGCAGCAGCAGCAGCAACAGCAGCAGCAGTAATAGTAATGGCGATCGTGACAGCAGCTGCGGGAGACCCTGCAGCGAGAGCATGGCTCGCGGTAGAACAAATCATACGCGGGAGAAAAATGGGGCGAAATGGAGAGTCAGTGGTAGTTGGGACCGATCGAGCGGAGCTAACAGCAGCAGCAGCAGCAGCCGCCGCAGCAGCAGCAGCAGCGTTGAGAGCTATTGACGTCTGCCTCAAGGGATCGACCGACCAGCAAAGGAGCGGTTAGACCGTTGTCTGTCTCTGAGGCAGCATTGCTTTTATCGTTCTTTCGTCGTAGTCGCTTCGTCCTTTTGCTTTTTCATGTCCGACACTCGAAGACATCCCTCGGCAAAGCTGCGCGCGGGCTGTCGCATCGATTAACCCCAAAGCAAGCGCCGAATGCAAAGTAACGAATTGCAGCGATTGAGACTAAGACGGTTCTAAAGGAATACGACGAGGTCGACGTAACGGCCAGATAGTGCCGATGTGAAACACACGTCGCGTCGGATAGCAACTGTTTGAATTTATTCGGCCGTCGTCGCATTCACAGTCCAACTGCAACTGATTCAGCAACGTTTTTTTAAGATAAATAAAAATTATTTTGTATACATTTCATATTTGTGATGTTTTTATTGTTCGCTCGTTTCGTATGCTCAGCTGGCTGGCCAGCCTTCGAAACAAAACGTCTTCGCTCTTTTCTTTTTCTATATTCTACCCATTGATTTGCTGAGTTTGCTGATCGGACTGAAGTACTACGCATTTCTTGCCATCTTTTTTAGGGTTTTCTTTAACGCTTTTTATGTCACAGTACATCCGAAAGGCACCGTCCTTTTCAATGTTGCAGGGCTTTTTATCGGAACTACGCCTTAGTCTATATGAATTTTAGCTAACTAATTAACAGGAACCCAACAATTTTTGTCTCAATGGACACATGGATACGCATGGAAAATGAAGCACATTCACATATACGTTTCGCTTTTTCAGGTCCCCCTAAAATGGGAAAAACCCTGATATACTATCGTGTTCAATACATCAGAAATACTTACGTGCCCTAGAATCGTTTTTTGATAGTGAACGGTAAACAAAACATACCTTTGCCGACTTCCGGTCAGTCGACAGGGTTTCGCCCTACTAACTTGAACACAACATCGTCCTGCACAGGAATGATTCGTCTTATATGTATATATCCAAGGGGGAAGGATAGAGTTTAGCCAGTATTCCTGTTTCACGCTCGTAAGTATTTGTACGTATATGTTAAATGTAGGTTGCAAGAGTTCGTAAGTAATCATGCGGCCGAAACCGCGACACTTCACGAAGTCCACATAGTCATGAGTTATCCTGCGCGCATAAAATGACAACAAGCACTCGATCAGCTGAAAAGTTGACCATATCTTAGCACAGTATTTCTATCTATTCATGATATACGACTTTCATTGTTAGCATAGTCCACTTCAGCCACTCGAATATCATAAGATCGATTTTTAGTCAATCGGCCGTCAATAGGTAATCCGTTCGTTCGACAGTGGTACCACCGCTACCGCGCTATTCACTGGCTCATTCCGCGACAAAGCCTTTCTCTTCAGCAGAATAGCTTCTTCAAAGCGCAACGGTAATTCGTCAGTGACCATTGCCTCCGAACTAACGAAATCCAGCCAACTTTGACCGAAAAGTAGCAGCCGTTAAGTCGAGGGGGTTACGTGTGGTGCTGTATGACGATTGCTGCAATTGCCGTGAAACGCCTCGGCTCCGGGTCCTTTTCTGCAACACGATCGCGGGCCACAGAACACACTACCGTGATTGGCTCCTCGCAAGCAGTGGCCACGACTGAATAGCAGCAGCGAGATGAAGAAAGATAACGGAACCATGAATCGAATGCTTGCCCAGCAACACACATACGCCGGATGCTGCAACACTCAGCTGAGATAGTAGGCCAGTTAGTCAGCTAGCAAGTTAACCAGCCAGGGGCCGTAAAGGCAATAGCACTTCGACTCACTTCGGCTACTTCAGCTGTTTCGGCCACTTCTGCTCCTTCGGTAACAACTTCGACGACGAACTGCGGCAAGACGGGCCGCGTGTATTGGGCCCCGTTGTCTTGCGCACCGTTGTCTTGCGCACCGTTAGCAACTATGTTGCTACGGCGTTGTGCAGCGTGAAAGACGTGGTGAGGGCCTACCTGAAAGCGAGGAGAACTTCGGTCTTCACTCACATATAGCCACTGTCGTGTGGCGACGGCAGTGCGGTTGCTGCTGCTGCCACTGCCGCTGATTGCGGCTTCGCCTTGACTTCATCGACACTGGGCTTTATTCTTGGGTTTTATCCGAGCAATTTATGAGCTGCTATATGACTCTTCTCTGGCGATGTTTGCTATTGGATCGAATCAGTTGGCTTTTTGCTCGTTTCGTCGCTCCGCCTGCGCTGAAGCTGTGATCAGGCCGAGTAAATTCAAAACCTCAAAGCACAGCAAGAGCGGGACCAAACCTCGCATACAGGCAGCGTCCCTATACACGCAATCTAACGGGCAGAGTCACTGCTGTGCTTAGGCAAACCGATAGAAATTTGTCGCTAATAGAGAAAAAAATAAGGTGACACGATCTGGGGCAGTAAACTTAGAGAGAAGTGAACAAAACGAGCTTCAACTGGGGATGAGGGAGTTTTCAGTCCGAGCACACACGAGCCGAGACAAAGAGGGCAATCGAGAGCTACAGAAGAGGTCGAGAAAGATCTAGGCGAGCGGGTGCTGGCCATGAATCAATGTTAACGATTACTTGCGACTGCTTAAACGAACGAGATTATTGAAGACGCGATGAGTTCAACGGGCTTAGATGCCTTGCGCGATGAGCAGCGTTACAATGAAATCAGATCGCCTCATCACTGGGTGCAGGATGGCAGTTTTTAATCAATCAATTTAATTAACCTTGCAGATTGAAAGGGCTAAATTCTCAACAACCAATTAGCTCATAGAAAATTTTAAAAATCATTTGAAAAAATAAAAAACATGTATTAAAATGAGCTAAGTTTTTTTTTATTTTCTTTGATTTATTTGTTATGATTCATACAAGAGCTTCGAGAACACCACGCAAGTATCGACAACTTCTCTCAACTCCATTCGTAGTAACAATTTGTGTGCTATCGCTATATTAGCATCCAGTTTTGATTGCAGAAAATATTATGAAACAATAGGGGTTGACACTCTGTAAATAAAGTTAACATCGACAGGCAAAATCAACCTATGGCCAACTGAGCCGCAAATTTCCGCATTTGACAAGTAGCTGAGGCCTGTTAAAATAGGATAACAATAACAACAACACGGTATATCCGTTTTTAAGGTTTGTTTAATATTAACTTCTATCTCAGGAAAGCTTTTTACTAAGTAATTGAAAGCGTTGTTCGTCTGTGTGGAGTGGGCCGTTAAAAACAGAAAAAAAAAAAAAAAAAAAGTGTTGAAAACATTCAGAGATCGACCTGGTTGGCACCCTCCATTGGATTTAGCCCCAGACCAAAACAGCTGTAGTCTCTATTTCCAACTTAAGCAACTGAGAGGCAATTTTTAAGGTGACTGCTATTCTAAATGTAGTCTATTCCACTGTCGATTAAATAGATTGCTGACGCACATTTGCCTAGTTATTCGAATATCTCAGTATTACTATTAGCACGTGCAGAAGTGGAAAAGGGCTTTTTAAAATAGCCTCTATCTCACCCGTGGTCTAATTGGCACTTAAATACTAAATAGGGCAATTTTTTGTCTATAGATCCAGCAATGAAATTGGTCCATAGCGTCGCGTCCGTGTCTGCACTCGTTAATGTTGGGTGGTTCAATACGAAAAATGAGGAACATTGATTCCTTATCCCACGATGGCACTATTTTCTGAACGTAGGACATTTCGCAATGCTTTCGTTTATATCTGAGATGCATCTACGCGCTTCGAACTTCGAAAAAGGGCCGTTTACTCGGATGTCGTCAACCGGGATTTACGCAGGCTATTTGCGATAAATAAAATGGAAAATAAGGAACTTCGAGTCGTTTACGAATCGAAGTTCCATCTTAGAACTTCGACAGAGGGGCAACTCGAAGTATAAGAACTGCATTCAATGAAATTCTCCACTGAAAGCACTGTGAGTCGTTGATTCAAACAGTTCCAAGAAGGAAATCCTGAATTCGAAGATGAGTCGTTACGACCATCTGCAAACGCGAATAACGAAGAGCTGAGATGAAATCCGGCCAATCTAAAAGTACAGGGATATTATAGCACTCAGGTGTGGTGCGTGTTCAAATACCGTATGTACTTAGCTTGGTCGTATTAATAAGGTACGCAAAGTGAAAAATAGTTACCGTATACCTTGAGCGAGTACCAAACACCGACACTACGTAAAGGCGCTTGCGTATATTTAGTTTCACCTAACAAAGTTGACTCATTCCTACTCCAAATTGTGACCAAACGATAATCGCAGATGGTGACCACTAACGGGTGAATACGACTGAGTCCGCGGAACGTCACCCTGAAACAAATGTACGACAGCAAAAGCTTCGTTCCGTGGTTTAAGGCAGGTGTTATTTACTACAGATCGTGAGTCCTCGTTTGACGATTGAGGCCTAAGTGTATTGTCAACAAAAGCATCTATTCATGAAGAAAGGTAAACTACTCTCCCAAGTTATAGTTCTTCCCCGAAATTTAGACAACTTCTTAATAAGGAAAGCTTCTATTTCGAAATTGCCTTTCGAAACTTCATCGACTGTCGTACTCTAAACTTTTTCAGCAGCGTGAGTTATCATTTAAATGGCCTAATAATCCTGCATACCTCGATTAGAAAATTAAGAACTAAATTCGTGGAATCCCTTTGAAAAAGCTAAGATGAAAAAAATCTCATCAGGCTTTACATCGAACGTGCTAATAATGCTGGAGTTTATTTGGCTTGTCCTATCGGGATATGAATTTTACGTGCTAGACCAGCACGTGCCCACAATTTAATAGCTAGCTGAAAAGGCCTTTGTCGTTTTATGGTTTGAAAGAGCGTCATTTGTAAGCGAACGAAGTTTTTCGGAGCACGTACAAATGTAGCACACAAACTATGTGTAGTCTCAAAGTAAAATTGATTCAATAAAGTGGCGCAAACGTCATACGATTGTTTTACTTGCCAAGTTTAGCGTGGGGTCTGTCTGCGTCAAAATACGACACAAATCGATAACTTTCTGTTTTGTCCGATTTGGCCATTTGTTTTTTTTTTTTAGCTATATACTGAATTTAGGAGTAAATGGAGCGTTTGCATATCGCATTCAATTTCGATTTTTTTTCGAATTTTTTTAGTAATTGTTGCCATTCAATAGCATTTAGCCTTAATCTAATTATTTGACGAGTCTCCTACCTGTGTTGTATAAGTGAAGTAAGTAGTTGGTCATTATCACACCGCAGATATGCCTATTGATCAGCTAAGCACGTTTTGAGACCTTCTTCATTGGCCAGCGTTTTACACTTCGAAGCATCTGCTCCTGATCTATAATCAGCTGTTTCAGATGATCCTGTAAGCATTCCTTCCATGGATGGACCAAGGAGAATTTTTTGCCACGTTTCATTATCAGATGCAGACTGTGAAATTAATACTTAACAATGGTATGAAAAGCAATTTTTCAATATTGTGATTCTAGTTCAGTCGAACGTCAACGACCACAATTTGTTAGTTGTTCTAAGAAAAACGTCTTGCTGATCAGTTGGTGGCTTTAGTGCGCGATGAAAGCAAAGATCAGTCCAAGAATACGCTCTACTTAGATAAATGAAGACGGGGAACACTAATTTCAGATAATATATAAACACTGTATATAAAATAATATTCTTGTTTGTATATTCTATTTTAGCTGGAAGCGTTTAGAAAACTAAGGTTTTGCTGAATCGATAAAGCCCTATCAAGAATCGGTTCGTGTATACGACTTTTAATTTACTCATATCTATGCCGGTGGGTTACAGTTGTCGTAGTAACAGCCTGTAGCTCGTGGTAGAAAACATATGATCTCGTGTTGACATCACCGAGAAGTCATACAGATGTTAGTATAAGCTCTAGAAGGACGATTCGAGCACATAACGCAATCAAAACAGAACTGGACACTTTTATTAGCCATACCAACAGGCTTTTCAAGGAGGCCAACAACGCACGTTCCACAATTTAATTTATTAAATAAACACATCTTTAATAGGCATGAGCGTTCTAACTATATATCGGTCTTCATTTGGTACAATGTGGCGGAAGTAAATGGCCATAAACATGGTGCAGTGGCGACGTATTTGCCTACTAAACGTAGAGGCACTTAGTAAGCAAAAGCGGTTTGAAACAGTGTTTAATTAACGCAGTATCGAATTTGAAATACGAAATATTCATCAGTGCAATACTAGTAAGTCGTTCAGCTATCTGGCATACAATGTTTGGTTTTCCAAAAAGTACAAAACCAAAAATAACATCATTTTCTAATCGTTGTCGTTTAATAAAAAAAAAAAAAGAAAAACAAATAAGTACTGCACTACATGTGGTGATTTTAATTTTCTGCACATATGGTCACCGTAATGGTTATGTGCGATCCCAACACTGACAGCAGTGTCCCGTCCGGGCACCATGATAGTGTTCTCGTCGCAAGACGTGCTACCGTTCATTCACCGTTAAGGACACGCTGTTCCTTGGTTGTTCCTCCTTTCTGTTTGCGATCGCCCTCGAAAACAACAAACAACACAAAGTGAATTTCAAAATGAAGGCCAAGAACATACACAAGCCCATGTCTACGTCTTCTTTCGCTGGGGACCGGTTTATCAGTCCTTCCATCGAAGCCGCCGATACCACCATCACCGTCACCACTGTAAGTACCATAAGGCTTACGCTGGAACGATAGCACCTGCCACTCGCCCCGAGAGAAGGACATCAACAGGCAAAACCAGACCAAGCAGCACAGCAGGTCGGAGCCTTGCACCAATTCTCTGGCGCATGACTTTTCCCCTCTGGTCTCTCTCTTGACGGCGTTCGAACACAGGCTTTCTCCACGGGCACTCTTTCACCTAACAGAGAGAGGACTTGCATCTTGCCAAGCAGCCACCATACACCAACCTTGTGAAAGTTTACCTAACGGTACTTTTCTGAAGTAAACTTCCGTGGGTGGGGCTTGGCGGAGCCTGAAGGGTATCTGGCGAATCTGCTATGCCGCT